TATATATATATGGGGGTGTGGTGCACACACACACACACATATATGGGGGTGTGATGTATACACACACAGGCACAAACACTATATATGTGCGTGTAATATACGAACATATATATATATATATATTTGTGTGTTTATTTATATATACATACATACATACACACACATATATATGCATATATATTATAAAAATGCATATATATACATATACATATATTTTTATAATATATATATATACATACATATGGATGACGTAGATACCTACCTACATACATTCAGATGAATATATATATATACATACATTTTTATAATATATATATATACATACATATGGATAACATAGATACCTACCTACATACATTCAGATGAATATATATATATACATACATACATATGGATGACATAGATACCTACCTACCTGCCTACATACATTCAGATGAATATATATATATATTGTATTTTATTATATATACATATGGTCGAACGCATATAAGGGCTATTTACAACCAAAGTATCTCAATTAATCGATATATCAGGTGATAATAGAGGCAACACGCGTATTCCGTTTTATTTTCTCATTCTCACTAACTCCCGCTAGTCCCTGCTAGGCATTCCTCCGCTCCATTTATTTGGAGTAGGCGGCCACTAACTTATCCAGATCGAATGCGGGATCATTGGGGTCGGTGACAACTGTGTAGAGTTATACATACGGAGGTTATGAATGGTTTGTTCGTAGTGATAGAATGGTAGAGGTCTGACATTTTCGATTGTGACGAGAAAAAGGTACTGAAGCTCATGAAGCAAGAACTCAGGAGATTAAACTCTAATATCCGAATCTCTCTCTCTCACACACAGATGTATATAAATAACTAGACGGAATGATGTTGATATATAACCAAACGAAAAAAGAAATACAACTATCTAGCATATCAATGTTATTTGTAATGTTCAGGTATAAGAATCACCCAATCGCACAATGTTCGCGGCAGTGTTGGGAGAGTGCATCGGGTTCTTTGACCGGTCGTGGACGGCGTGCAATAAAACAGAACTGAACGCGTGTAAACAAGCGTAGCAGCCAATAGTTACGCAACAAATGACACAAATATTGGGCCAACAATAAAAGTATACAGATATCCTCAGAACTTGTATTTACAGATGTTGTGTATACATACCTATACTAATGTGTACACGTACAAACTTACGCACCATATTATATATATATATACGATGCTTCACTATACAAAAGAAGTACACCATTGAAAGCAGCAGGTTTGTAGTTCTAACACGGCACAATCCCACTGTTCACAGAGAAACGTTCAAAAAGTCACGTACCATTAGCACACATTTCGAATGACCGTCGTTCCATTCCGGTCCGTTACACCCACCCACCCACTATTTACAAGTGTCTCTCACAGTAAGAGTCTCCAACACAGCTAGCTGTATCAAACACTACAAGTAACTTACCACCACCCTCCACACGGTTGGCACGCGCTACCAGGTCGGCGTACTCGGCATCCTTCTTAGCCTGCATAACGTGCATATACTCAGCGTGCTTCACTCTGATAGCCTCCTTCTTAGCCACTCCACGGCTGTGTACAAAGCCATATACCAACCCTGAACCAAGAGCTACATACCGAGCCCACTACGTGAGATTAAGTGTGAAATTAAGGAGAAGGGTTAGAATTCGAGGGAATTGAAGGATATATATATACATTTATATATATATATAAATACATCGATTGCTTCTGCCTTCCGTCACTCAATGATTGTGAACTATATACTATTCAGTGTACAGAAGCTACATATTGAGACCTCTACTATGGTTTTGGTGTAAACCTAAAACTTAGGTACTGTGCTTGGTACTGTTTATGAGCTGAAATATATGGTTAGCCCTGATTTTACAGAATACACACACACACACGCACACACACGCACACATTTATTTACATACATATACACACACACACACACACACACATATATGTTATATTATATATATATATATATATACTGGTTTCGTCTTTGTTTATTCTACGGCAAAAAAATCGGAATCCGAAAACGGCCCGTTGCAAAATATGCAAGATAAAAACGGCTAGGCAAATCCAATCCTTCTGTCAATTGTTGCTGGGTAAGAACCCGCACCAAGCCCAAATCTCAGTATATATATATATATAACTATAAATATATATATATCTACATACATACACATATATATAAATACATACACCCACATACATCTACATATATATATATGAACCACCGTACACATTTTACTTCTCACACCGCATGGCCGCATCCACAATCAGGTACTAATCTGTAACTGAGTGCTATATATCGTACCCGCAGCAAACCGATATGCATGAAAGGTGGGAAATCTGGTAACGCTTTCATGCAAGTAAAGACGATAGTGACGAGATAAAAAAATGCTCGCCTCATATCGTAGTTGACACAGTGAAGGGCAATCATATATGTATAAAATGTATCTACTTATTCATGTCCATACATTTACTATCAAAGGTTATATTAAAATATATATATTATACATTTACATTATAT